TGACTCCGGAAAAACAAACGTCGGTCAATAGAGTGCTATCACATTAGTGCGTAAAACACCGACGAAAATCACGAGGGGGTCGATCCACCAATCTCCTCCGTCGGATAATATCCGCCACTGCGTCCGCGATGCCAACGACGACGGCGACGATGCGATATAAATAATGAATAATATTAATAATAATAATACAGTATTATGCTAATGAAACGGTCTCGCTGAAAACATTATTACACGAAAACACTTTAATAAATTCGCTTTTATATTACGCGGGTATCGTGTGTGTTAAAAACGTACGTAATTCGATTTACGGGCACGTGTATGTATAACGTGGTGAACCCGTGTTCACGGAGCGAGTTTTGCAGCGTGATATTTTAGAACGTATTAAAAAAAAAAAAATAATAATAATAAAAAATAAAGATATAAAAAGTACCGAAAAATAAAAGCGACGGTGCGACGTTCTGCAAATGATGATAACAAGAGGGGTGGTGAACGTTTTTTTCTCAAAGCCGTATAATCGATAAAGTGAATTAAATTATGTTTCTGTTTGAGAAAATAGAAACTTCGTCGTCGTCGCTGTCGTAGTGACAATCAACTGTCACGATATTTTTGCTCGTCAATTAATCGAATGATATCCGACGGGAAAAAAATACAAATTTATTATATCGTTTTTTATTTACAAAATTATTGTGGACTGTCATCTTATTAGCTGCGTTGGCACGGCCGGCGACGACTTGACGGGGGGCAGGGGGGCGCATAGGGGCGTCACATTTCAAGAGGTCGTCATAATCTTTTAAGAAATCGCATAAAAGCAATTTTATGTAAGTATTATCACGACGAAATTGATTTTATCGCGATTATTATACGACCCTAACGGATAATTTACTTAAACATACTCGTTTATATTGGAATATAGTCATTTTAGATTCTGGTCGGAGCGAGAAATGTATTGATCTTACAATGATATTGGGGTGGTACTATTTAGGCAGATCATTTGTCGATGTTCCCAGAAGTTTTCCTAATAAATGGGAAAAACCAGAAAAAACGGGAAAATTTACGAAATTGATTACTTTCGAATCGTAAATATTACAACCTTTCAGAACATGTTATAACCGAACGCCGCTCAAAATCGATTTTCGTTATCAAAGATTGATGGTTGCGTGCAGGTATATATTAAATATCCCCTCTGCCTTTCCAACTTATTGCCTACAACAGTGGCCCACCAATCGCGCGAAGTATGTCCGTTTGGTTTTTTTTTTTTTTAAATTTTCATTTTTTTTATTGTATTAACTCCATTCCAACGTTTACGCTCACTTTGCGGAGTCTAAAATAGTGTGGTTTTGAGCACAAAAATTGTGCAGTATATTATTTAATATGCCCAGCTCGAAATTCCAGCGGTTCGTTTACAAATTTTTTTTTCTATGAAAGAGGACTAAAGAACTAGAATATTAGGGCCCCCCAGAAAATATTAACACGTATCTGGGCCTTGGACCATTTCTGTTTCAATACCGGATGGATCATCAGGCAAGTTTTAAAAACGGCCCTAGCGGTCGTCAATGCGAGCGTTTTTGAACATAAAACCCAAACTTGTAGAAAAATTGTTTGATTTCGAAATTAATATGCGTTTTAGCTTTTCGCGTAAAACGGCTTAAAGTGAAAATTAAATAACCCGAATTTATATCGGAAATACCCGTTTAGTTAACGATTAAATTATTAAAAGAAAAATAAAAAAAAAAAATAGGGGTTTATTTCTTTTTAATTCTAAAAAATGCCACTTTTCAATTTTGAACTGTTATACATACCGTTTCTTTCAAATAAATTGGAAATCACTGTATCGTACCCTCAATGGAATATTTACAGAACCAAAGTTCCGACCCACCCTCAGAGGTACACAACTTTTTATAATATTAGTGGAATTGATATGATTTAAGCGGACTGAGCCGTCTAAATAATGTTAATGCACCCCCTGTCTCACAAAAAGTCGTAAATACGCCGCTTGCATACTCTAGATAATATATTATATACGAATACAAAATGTCATCGTCTTTAATTATTTTCATAACAAACAAAAGTTTTAAAATCATTTTTAAAGGTAGGTCAAATTGTATAACTTTTTCTGTGTGAACGTGTTTTCAATGAATTTTATAATCATATTATAATGAGATGGACGAGGGACCATTTTAGATTCTGAGTGGAGCGAGGAATGTATTGATTTTATAATAATGTTTATTTTCATTATTATTTTTTTTTTTTTTCATATCCGTGAACCTACCGGCAATTCTGCTCCGATTTAAAATGATAGCATTTTTTCTGAAAAGAAATCCGACTAGGTAGGTATTTTAGAGTGGCAATTTTTTTGATTTTTGATGAAAAGCCGGGAAATAATATTAAAGAAAATATTTAATGCGCATGCAATTATTTGTCTATTATATGACATAAATATTGTTGACAAATCAACACTATCGACCGAATTCCGCTCAGAATCGTTTTTTTTTTCGGCCTAGGACTGCAGTTTTTTTAAGTTTATATCAATACATGTACGAATACGCGTTTGAATCGAACAATATCTATTCGCCGATATTTTATTTGATTATAAATTATCGTTTATGGCGTAAATATTGAAACCGACGATGTATTTTATTAGCCGCCATTAGAACAAAGTAGGTACCGTTAAGACTATCAACTGTCGTTAGGAATGACAGTTAATTTGGCAAACGTTTTAATAAAAAAAAAAACAACAATCCGTGTGTTTGCAGTACGTACCTACCTATACCGACTGTACCGTTCGGATTATAACTGCAATTTCCGAAGTTTTTGCAGCGTACATAATATTGTGTAGGCCCGTCCAAAACTTTGATAATGAACTAGGTGCCCCGGTATATAAATCACGCTTAACCGTATTATTGTGTTTTATACCGTGGCGAAGGTCATCGTTTGAATTCGCAATAATGTTATTATTATTTTCGAAAGTTTTTATTGAGACGCGCCGAATTCCGGCGTTTAATCCGCACCGCGATAATCTAATGCCCGTCCTAAAACAAAAACGTACAGCGCGGCCGTGTACATTTGCTTTTTCCGCGGGTATACCTATACGTACGCGCACAGATTACACTTCTAAAAACAAGGGCAACGGTTTCTTTTAACGGAAAGTTTTTAATTCTCTAAAAGCATTACGTACCTACCAACAATACAGCCGAGGGTCGATGGTATACACAATATTGTATAGTGGTACTTGCCCTGAAAGCAAACGGATACAAACAATATAGATCATATTACTTTTAATTCCGGCATTAACGTTAATTTAATTCCACGTTCGCGTTGCAGGTACGGGCCGCCAGGTGTATCGACGACATAATAATTTCCGGTTTCGTATTCGCGTATATTATTATAAAACACGCGGTTCGTTCGTTTCGGCACTTCGCACCGAGGGTAGGCCACTGGTGTAGGTCGTGGAAAGTGGAAAGCCGGAAAAGTACACGGATATAGGTTTTTTGGGATAATTTCCTTACCGCACGCGACAATACACGTTTTGCCGACGAAGAACGATTCTGAGCCGACGTCGGTAAACTGACGAGGTCCCGTAGTATTAGTTGTGTATTTCTCGTCTGCAGACAACAAACCGTGACATTGCAGAAAGCAATAAAACTAAAACCAACGAATCGGTCATTTCTTATCGGTTTTGTTTTAATAAAAACTGTTTCCTAGGGCAAAAAAAAACCTACGTTTCCCAAGATAAAGTATAAACGGTTTGGAGCGTCGGTTTTACGAACCGAAAAAATATTTTCCGTGAAAACTGTACACGTTTTAGCGAAACCACTTCGCCACACACTCGGAACCGATATAAACGCAAACGGCGAACAAAATTAATTATACGAATACAATGATAATCGTAGGCTACGGCTGTTACGAGTAAACGGGATCCGGTATCTACGTATTTATGAAATCCGTTTTAATTGTATTAATAATTATCGTTGTATACCACAGCGATCTAAAACAATATTTGAACAACTTTGAAAGTTTTAACGTGACAAATACGCCGAGAATGTCGACGGTACTACTATGTTATTATAATATATTATTGTTTCGCATATCGGCGGTAGTTTATTGAGCATTTCGAAACACGTGGATTTGACGTGGATGTGTGAAAAGTAGTTTTCATCATGCGATAGTTGACTTTGGTTTTCGGCACAACATTGTTAATACAATATAGGTCGTGTGAAAGTTATGCATTTGGTTTACCGCGGAACCTATAACTTACAGCTATACATAGGTGGTGTACATTATACGTCTTTGGAACAAGTCGACGCGCGGAGTTCAACTCCGATGAACGATTGCAGCTTATTGAGGGAGCCGCGCGGAATTTAATTTCGATCCGTTCTGATGTTTCTGGTATGCCGTTGTCATTTTAGATTTGCCAGCCTCGCATGAACTATATACGGGGGCCTTGAGATATTATATGCCCACCTACGTATATTATAGTCTGAGGAATTTATTTCAGTGAATTTGCGGGGACACAAATGCACAATGTCGCCCCGGAACCTTTACGCGGGCGTATAAGAAAAAAAAAAAAACAAACTAATTCGGGAATACAATTATTGTCAATTTTTTATAGGACGTTTTAGGATCACGATAATTTTCTTTTAATGTTACGATCGATGCCGATGTATTGTTTATTTTCTGCCGGACCTCCAGCGCACAATGGCCTGAAAATATATTACGCAGTAAATTTACGCGACGAAAAGTCCGAGTTTTAAGTGGCGGTTTTTTTTTTTATTTTAGTCAAATGTTTTCTACGCGTCGTCATCCCCCGGGATCTTAATGGCGAATTCGGAGTTTCTAAGTACATATTCAAATAGTCCGCGGGACCGCGGCCTTTGGGGAAAAAGATATTCTTATAATTTTATAGTTGTTTCAGCAAAACGATCGTCAGCTCGCCAAGCAGTTCGTCGGGCTGCTTTTTCCTCGAGGACGTTACACTCGTCCCCGGGTTATCGGGGTCGGCGTCAATTGCACGAACAGCGTGCACTGTGTCTGCGCACGACAGTACACCGCTGACCTTGATTTACAGGACTGCGGGTCTGCGGGATATTTTCCTGGCTGGATTCGCGACCACGACTACGTGGTGCAGGATAGGTTTTCATCCTAGTGACTGTTGCGATCGATTCTTCGATGCGCATTGGTCCGTTCGTTATTAATAGTTTTGGAGCCGTGTATATGGGAATCCCGATGTCAGAATTGCCTCCGTTCGCCACCACTTGGCCACTCCCGTTTGGAGGGTTTCTATTTGTCCCGATATTGATGGCGTTGCGCTTCTTCACACCGTTGTCCCGGCAAATCTGACCGCGTCCAAAGAAGGCCATCATAGGTATTCAGTAAATATTTCAAATCTCCGCGATTATATTTAATCGTATTGGAGTGAAAAAAATTCGAAAATAATAGAACCGTTAATGCCGTCCGTAAGATTTCCCGTTTTTCCAAATTATTTAGAAGAACAATTGGAAAATCAAAAAATGCATCACAGATGCACCGAAATTCTACAAAAAAAAAAAAAAAAACGCTCTTATCGTTTTAGAGCAAAATTTCTTGTAGACAAGTTGTTAACAGGCGGGAAATAAAAGCTCACCTAACAACACCAATTATACATTGTTAGTTTTAATCCCTGGATTTAAATTTATACTAAAATTATACGTTTGACTGAGCTAAAGATAAAAATATAGAAATATCTTTTTCCGAAAACTGCAGATTATTTAAGTATACAGGTGTTGAAAATTCAATATAAAGATTCCAGGTAATATGTGTTGAGTAAATTTTACTAGAAATAAAAAAAAAAAAATTACATTTTAAAACTGGGAATTCTTCGCCGCGTAAATTTGTAGTTTACTGTGGATGTTTTTGTTATTATTCTGGACGACCAATAAAAATTGTCATCGGCAATCTTTACGTTTTAGTGTGTACTCAAAGCTTTATCAATTTTTATGTTATATACATATTTCGTTTTGAATATTAGTATAATTATATTACAGTAATATGAAATGCACAAATTAATTTTTTTTAAAAATTCGAACGTACCGAACTACACACCGTGGGTAGGCCGATGTAGTAGACGGCATATTCAAAATACTATAAGTCATTGAAATCGACAAAAACCATTCCGGGCGGATGCGTTTTTTTCTATTCCTCGTAGCCATTAAGCCACAGTAACCCTGCAGACGTAAACGAACATTGAACCGATGTATTTTCGGTCGGTTTTCAATCCGACACCAATGGAAACCTGTCGGGAATCTAGACGGTCCGTCCGAACAAATAATACATACAGTCTTGCGAAAAAATCCTCATCTATTACGCGTAGGCGAGCGCCGGCTCGACCGGAACTTTTTCGGGGGCCGTAGTAAGGTTTACACTGGCCGCGGCGAAACGCGTAAATCTTTGAAATTGTATTTTTCGCGATTGCCGAACGTAATTCGAAATGTTTGCGCGTACTTGCGGTCATCGCGTCGATTTCGTCGACGAAAGTATTCCGTACGAAACGTTGTGCGGGCACTACGACCATACACACAGTCGGTTGTTGTACGCGATAACATACGCGATGCGAGGTACCCGAATCGTTTTACGACAAGCAGAACGCGGACGCCGGGCTCGTGGACGCGTACGCGCTGCTCCGCGGAGAAAACCCATGCGTTTACAATTGGTCGCTCGCAACGGAAACGCCGCAAACTGTCCACTCAATAATCCGATCGGCACGTTAACCGTTAGCGGGCGTCACCTGTCCGTTCAGTCTGCCGCGTTTACTTTGCCGACTTACCGTCTGCAATACGGTGTACGCCGTGGCGCTGCGAATGAATAATATGATCCGACGTTGTCTCAATCGATATTGTTCTTGTTAATACACCGGGCGTTGTGCGAATTGTATTAAACAAAGAACTTCGAAACGTGTGTCGGGGTCCGCGTAGTGGTCGCGAATACAGAAAACGTAGCGCCCTGTAAATAGAGCAGAACTGTTAAAAAATTAAAATTAAACGTTCGATAAGAAAAAATTGTTTTACGCCGGGCACGTCCGGTTTTCAATGTTGCGAGTAATAAACTGTACGGAACCATACGAGTATAGTGATGATATTTTCCGCTCGATTGTATTTGAAACAAATAATTACACGAAATCGTTTAACGGATTTTTCACCGTACTGAAATTATTCAGTGTAACACCAGTCACAAGGCGTTCCCGCGAACGGGTATTTTCAAAACTAACAGCGGTAAAAAATAAATTGAGGAGTACCGTGCAACAAGACCGACTTAATGGTTTGTTATTAATGTCTACTGGACCAGAACTGACATCTAGTATTGACATTGGCGAATTTAAAATGATGGGAAATTGGAGACGAATTCATTTATAATCGTATTTAAATTGTAGTCGATACATAATTACACATTTATACATTATATATGCTTTATGTATTCGTTTAATAGCTGTACAGAATTTTCGTTTATTAAACCGGGCTTTTTTTTTTTTTTAAATGTTGGGCACTAATTGTATCCAGGCTCGACCGGAAGTTGATGTCTGCGCACGCCTATGCCATTACGATATTATAATGTGGAAAAACGAGAAAACGTTCCCCGAAAAAAAGATATCACCTCTTGGTAAAACTATAATATACTGTAATATCTGCTACTGCGCTATAATATAAGAAGAATCGAAAATACAATAAAAAATTAATAACGATATTTCAAAGAAACTATTGCAATCTTATACTACCTAGCTACTATAGGTCGTCCTGTTTTTATTCCCTACAAAATAATATATGATATTAATAATAATAATAATAATAATAATAATAAAATAAACGATTTAATAAAATTGCTTATTTCTTCTTCGACTTTACTCGAAATATTATATTTTATCAAATACTGTATACGTATACAAGACGATACGGAAGACGACTTTTCTCGGAATATTTCGGCATCTCCCTTTTCGATCTATAACGTAAAACAAATAAAAATCAAAAAATAAATATTATAACAGAACGGCGGTCAATAGTTCAATACTATTTTCCGTATGCAGGTACACGTTTTGTACTTGTAAAACAAAACACAATATAATATTATAATGGCGCATATTGTGCGTATAATACCTACACATAAATCGTAACGTTATCAAATAATGCGAATAACAATAATGATAAAATCTATTGTTATTATATATTGCACGCGGTATAAATATTTATTTAGTAAAATATTATACCGGCTTTCGGATATCCGTTCGGAATAGTTTTCATAATTTTTTTTTTTTTTTCCCGTTATTTCCCAATACACAAACATTTGCGTATGCTGTCATCATCATAATAATAATAATAACAGTTGAAAATACACTTAGAAATGCCGTTGAAAATCTAAAATTAAGCACGGAGAATATTTTCAATTAACGAATAATACTATGCGCGCGTCGTCACGAGTTTGAAAAGGACGGAAATACTTCGCACCTGGGTGCAGCCACTGTTGTAGCTGGGAAGTTGGGAAAGTAGGATACGGACGGGAATTCGATATTTATCTGTAAGCAACTGCTAACCGTTGCTAACGAAAAAATGATTCTGAGCGGAGTTCAGTTGATAGAGTGGTTGCTATGTCAACAAAATATTACATGTCATATTATGGCAAAATGATTAGAACAATGTGCATTTCCATGACAACAGTGATTGTTTGAAAAAGATTTTTTAAAATAATAACAAAACATAGATAATAACGGTTGCCAATGACAACCTTATTTTTAATATTTTAATTTTTTCTAACTTTAAAAACTACGTGTTCCTCATTATCTCGAATATTAATGGAAATTTCAAAAAATAGCCTCTTTAAAGTACCACCCAGAGAACGTTTACTTTCAGAAAGATTACTGTACTTTCTGGTAGAAAAAGCGTTCACATAAAAAATAATAATAATAATAAACATCATTGTAAAACCAATACATTCCTCGCTCCACTCTGAATATAAAAAATAATAAGTCTCAACATCGAATTAATGAATAATCGAATCCTTTATCGAAACGAATATCGCTGCGATACGTTTGATCTATCTGAAAATGTAGAATACCACGTCATTTAATCTAATTGAAGAATAATACTGTAATAAATAAATAATTTCGTAATGTATAAGTTTGGTTTTTTTTTTCTCTCTCTCCGCCGCCGCTGCAGTTTTCCGATTATTAATGAATCCGCGTACAGTTTTAGCCCAAACACACCTGGCGTTATAATTTTTCAATTAAGATATTTTACCATTGAAAAAAATGTATTTATGTGTGTACAATACATACAATACAAAGGTCGCGATATTCTCAAGAGGCCGTCACGGTGACGTTCGACGTTTCTTGTCTTTCTAACGAGCGATACATAGCGAAAATGTTCGCGTCGAACCAACAAAAAGGTCTTTAAAATCGGGTTATACAGACACTACCCCTATTACGACGACAATATATAGTAACTAATTCGAGGACAATATCTGCTTTGGCGGTTTACGGCGAGTCTCTAAATAAAACTCAACTCTTTACCGACACAATCATTGTAGGTATGTTGTTTATGTTTTACATTCTGAGCGTTTTTCAATATTGTGTGCTTCTTTTTTTTTTTTTTTTGCCGTCTGTAAACAGCATGTCTACCAGAAAACTTGCTCCGATCATAAAAACTGTAAGAGTTTTTTTTTCCGCCGAATTTCGGATCCAGTTAGTGCAATGAGATGGTCATTTTAACATAATATTGCACGTGTATTGCTGACAAAGCAACACTGTATCAACTGAACTCCGCCTCAGAATCGCTTATTCATTAGCAATGGTTTATCGTCGCTTACGGATGTACATTAAATTCCCGTATGTGTCCTACAGTCCCATCTTATACCACCTATGTCGGCGGCTACACCGCTGCGTGCGAAGCATGGCCGACATTTTTTTCTTCTTTTTTTTTTTCTAATAACAATTATTCTAACCTAACCGATCTTCCGGGTATAAATTTGTCTGTTCATCGTCTGTGCGCGACGGACACGTCTATGCCCGTTGTCGAATGACAAACGCGGCGAACGCCGGTGCGACGACGGCGGCGGCCTTACAAAACGGGCATCGAACTATTTCCGTAACAATAAAGTTCCGGTTCCTACGCCTACACACGGGTGTAGTACACTGCACGACGTTACGATCGGGCGTAATTACACAACGTAAACCGTGCGAAACGCGAATATTATTATTATGTTAGACGTTTCGGCCGGGAACAATGAGTAACGTAAAAATTGCATATTGTCCCGCGAGTAATTCGGTTTACAAACAAACGGTTAAATGAATAATAACGGCAAACGGACGGCGCGCGCGGGTACTTCACGCGATACCCTA